AATTGTTCAGTCAGGTGATCAAGGAAGCTCAGTGGCACTGAATGGCATCCAGTCAAAGCATAATTTTGTCCATCTCGTTTTTAAAAGGTTTTATCATATTTTATGGGACCAAACATTTGTGAACTTTGATGAACTTGCACAGTCATAGTTTCCTAATGTTCTATTGTTATTTCTTTTGATGGGAAACAATGAAGAAGATTATCAATATGCAATAAGTGTGAGGGGGTGGGCATTCTGGATGGATGTGAGTGAGGCTACTGCTGGGTGGGGTGAAGGCAAGGGCAACTGGAGTGGGGGAGTCTGAGTGAGTTCATAGGGAGGGTGAGCATAATACTGCTGTGGTAGAGTGTGGTGGGGTGGAATCAGGCTACTGTGAGTAGGGTGGGGTGAGATGGGGGTGGGGTGAGAATTAGGCTGCTGTGGGTAGGTTAGGGTGAGAATCAGAGTAATGTGGGTAGGGTGGGGTTAGAATTAGGCTGCTGTGGGTAGGGTGAGATGATAATGAGGCTGCTGTGGGTAGGGTGGGGTGAGAATTAGGCTACTATGGGTAGGGTGGGATGAGAATTAGGCTGCTGTGGGTAGGGTGGGATGATAATGAGGCTGCTGTGGGTAGGGTGGGGTGAGAATTAGGCTACTATGGGTAGGATGGGTTAAGATGGAAAGGGGTGAGAATCAGGCTACTGTGGGTAGAATGGGGTGGAATCAGGCTACTGTGGGTAGAATGGGGTTAGATTATGTCAGAATCAGGCTTCTATGGGTAGGGTGGGGTGAGAATCTGGCTACTGTTGGTAGGGTGGGGTTAGAATCTGGCTACTGTGGGTAGGGTGGGGTGAGAATCTGACTACTGTGGGTAGGGTGGGGTGAGAATCAGGCTACTGTGGGTAGGGTGGGGTTAGAAACTGGCTACTGTTCGAGGGTGGGGTGAGAATCAGGCTACTGTGGGTAGGGTGGGGGCGAATCAGACTACTGTGGGTAGGGTGGGGTGAGAATCTGGCTACTGTGGGTAGGGTGGGGTTAGAATCTGGCTTCTATGGGTAGGGTGGGGTGAGAATCTGGCTACTGTTGGTAGGGTGGGGTTAGAATCTGGCTACTGTGGGTAGGGTGGGGTGAGAATCTGACTACTGTGGGTAGGGTGGGGTGGAATCAGACTACTGTGGGTAGGGTGGGGTTAGAAACTGGCTACTGTTCGAGGGTGGGGTGAGAATCAGGCTACTGTGGGTAGGGTGGGGGCGAATCAGACTACTGTGGGTAGGGTGGGGTGAGAATCTGGCTACTGTGGGTAGGGTGGGGTGAGAATCAGGCTACTGTGGGTAGGGTGGGGTGAGAATCTGGCTACTGTGGGTAGGGTGGGGTGAGAATCTGGCTACTGTTCGAGGGTGGGGTGAGAATCAGGCTACTGTGGGTAGGGTGGGGTGAGAATCAGACTACTGTTCGAGGGTGGGGTGAGAATCTGGCTACTGTGGGTAGGGTGGGGTGAGAATCAGACTACTGTGGGTAGGGTGGGGTGAGAATCAGGCTACTGTGGGTAGGGTGGGGTGAGAATCAGACTACTGTGGGTAGGGTGGGGTTAGAATCAGACTACTGTTCGAGGGTGGGGTGAGAATCAGACTACTGTGGGTAGGGTGGGGTGAGAATCTGGCTACTCTGGGTAGGGTGGGGTGAGAATCTGGCTACTGTTCGAGGGTGGGGTGAGAATCAGGCTACTGTGGGTAGGGTGGGGTGAGAATCTGGCTACTGTTCGAGGTAGGGGTGAGAATCAGACTACTGTGGGTAGGGTGGGGTGAGAATCTGGCTACTGTGGGTAGGGTGGGGTGAGAATCAGGCTACTGTGGGTAGGGTGGGGTTAGAATCAGACTACTGTTCGAGGGTGGGGTGAGAATCAGACTACTGTGGGTAGGGTGGGGTGAGAATCTGGCTATGGGGGTAGGGTGGGGTGGGGTTAGAATCAGACTACTGTTCGAGGGTGGGGTGAGAATCTGACTACTGTGGGTAGGGTGGGGTGAGAATCTGGCTACTCTGGGTAGGGTGGAGTGAGAATCTGGCTACTGTTCGAGGGTGGGGTGAGAATCAGGCTACTGTGGGTAGGGTGGGGTGAGAATCTGGCTACTGTTCGAGGGTGGGGTGAGAATCAGGCTACTGTGGGTAGGGTGGGGTGAGAATCAGGCTACTGTGGGTAGGGTGGGGTGAGAATCTGGCTACTGTTCGAGGGTGGGGTGAGAATCAGACTACTGTGGGTAGGGTAGGGTGGGGTTAGATTATGTCAGAATCAGGCTTCTATGGGTAGGGTGGGGTGAGAATCTGGCTACTGTGGGTAGGGTTGGGTTAGATGAGGTGGGAATTAAGGGGGTAAGAGTTAGGCTAGTTAGGGCTCTGAGTGAGGTCTCGGGGATGGTCAAGTGAGGATACAGGATTCTGTGGGTGGGGTGAGAGTTAACAAAACGTGACATGTAAAAGACTGTTGACAGTATGTTGAAGCAAAGTTAAGGGGTGTGGCAAATCCAGGTGTGTGGGGAAGCTGATAGTGGATGCAGGGTGAGGTGTCCTGTAAAAGGAAACACAAGACATACATGGTTTAGGGTTGATATATTTCAAATGTCCGTCCAACTTATCTGACAAATCATTTCTCTCTGGCCTATTTCTAGCCACTCTGGGTCAGGGTATGCATTTCTTTTGCTATGATTGTGTTCAGGTTTTCAGGTTAAGTTTACAAGCTTTATAATTGTTGTCATGTTTTCACTACTGAACAGTTACAGTGAAATAAACGAATCTTCACTCCATTCTTGATTCTTTCATTTATCCCCGATGACCTAAAGTCAGAAATACCGTATTCGACGTAATAAGCGCCCCGCTCCAATAAGCGCCCACGGCGATATTTCCTAATATATTGGCTAGTAAACAATCCCAATCAGCACCCCTTCCGATTGATCAATGTACACAAGACTTTTTTTATTCGTGTATAATACGCACTCGTGTGTTATATCACCCTTAATAATGGGCAATTAAATACTTGAAAAATATATCTGTCGTATGTAAACACTTCAGGCTGTTAGCATAAACCACGAAATTTACGATCTTTCAACTCAAAATAATATTCTAATAAGCGCCCCCTATTTCAAATTGTGAGAGCGCCCAGGGCATTGAATACGGTATGTATATATATTTTATTCTGTTGTAATTTACAAAATATACATAAAAATATGACCTCAGTGTCATAGTCCCAATTTTAAGTTGAATGCTAAAAATATTCACTATTATAATAAGGTTGCATTTCACTAAAACCCTTCCAACAGTCAAGAATGTCAGGTGCTTTCGAGATTAAAACAGTGTTTTGAATGTCTAATGGTGCAGAGATACTTAAAACTGATGTAGAAACAAATATGGGCAAAGTGTGCATGCTGGTTATTATGTTTATATCTACATTAACACAAAATAATATTGATGTCAATTCTTCATTGGTTAGCCACCCATGGAATAATTTATGGTGTAATCAGGGTGAGTGAGTATGGTTTTGGCTTTTAGCAATATTCCAGCAATATCACAGCGCGGGACACCAGAAATGGGCTTCACACATTATGGTGTAATGAATGGCAGGTGCTGTCTAGATAGAGTGTTATGTATATTAGATACTGTCTAATTACTGTCTAGACACAGACCGCCTCCGTGGTCTAGTGGTAGAGCATCCACCCGGAGAGCGGAAGGTCCGGGGTTCGATCCCCGACCGCGTCATACCAAAAGACGTTAAAAGATGGTCCTTGTTGTTACCCTGTCTGGCACTCGGCATTAAGGGGCTGAACAAGGACTGGTCGGCTCGGAGTCAGTATACTGTGTCTGAGTGGGGTATTCATGTTAAACTGCGGCATGGTATCTCAGTGAGCTAGCACTATAAATCGGCATCAGTCCGGACTAGTACAAGCAGCCACACAAAGACACACACGTACATGCACGTCACTATATAAGTGCAATAATCTTGGACGCAACGTTAAACCTCCTTTCATCTCACCTCACCACGTCTAGACACACATCAAGACTGGTACTGTGTGTACCTAAGTGAGTGAATTTGCTTCCAATGAACACCACCTCAACTGTATTTCAGTAATATTTTACTTGGCATGCCCACTTGATGTTGAAGGAAAGCCCAAAGTGGTGTTGGTCTTTTACCATGTTGATGCAACCCATGACCATGGGTATGGTGCTAACCAATCTCATTAAAATCAGATCTTAGTTCTCGCTATCGCTAAACAAAGATCTGAGGACATCCCATTACGGGTCACGTCAGAACGACCTTTCATCCAACCAATCAGAGTGTCGCTTACCAGATCATGAAAGTGGCAGTCGGAATGTGTTTTCTAATCATGCAACCACGATATATTTAACATGGGGTATTCCGAACAATATTTACGGGTTTTATGATTATATCCATACAATCTAGGCCATCTATAAGCCATTCCAGAATGTTCTTCTTATCAGTTTTAAAATTGTTAATCGAGAATACGTCAAAATATATTTCTAAGCGTAGTCACCCGTTTGAAACTAGTGTCATAAAGCTCGAGAAAGCTGCCTTCTGATTGGCCAATGTCGATTTCTTGTCAGTCATTTCATTGGTCGGTCAAAATTCGCGAAAGGTCATTCTGACGTGACCCGTAATACCCTCAGATCTTTGTTTAGCGGTAGCGAAAACTAAGATCTGATTTTAATGAGATTGGGTGCTAACAAGCCTACAGACATAAATCAGGGTAATTCTGTGATTCAAACCAATGATCATAGGATTCTGGCATACATAAGGGATGCAACTCTGCACAGCAAAATACAGCACCTAGACAACTTGGCCACTTGTAACCCTGGCTGTGTTTGAAATGTGAAGGGTTTATTTTGACGATGTTTGTGTGGAATCTGTATAAGTATACATTGCTGGGGGCTTACTCTAACCCGAAATCCCCACTGGGGTTAACCATCAGATATCCTTTCCTTAACATGATGGTATCCACAAAACAACACAACTATTTTAATTTTGAGATATTTATTTGTGCTTTTCAACAAAGTGAATTAAAAAACTTATCAACAATAAATTACAGTTATCAATCTTAATATCTAGCTCATTTACATATATGTGATGATGAAAATGAACACACTCAACATAAATCTTCCATATTATTCTACGTGTATTAGGTGATTTCCTTGTTCCTGAGTTCCCATTTACCAGTAATAACCAGTTTTTTACCGGTAAAATTAGGCTTGGGCCGGTAATTTATGTGACTGCCAGTCCCTGTGGATCGGCAAATAAAGTACCTAGTAAATCTTTGTTGGTGAATAAAACATCGGTGATATTCATATAAGTACATTTTTCAGCTTGTCTGTTACCAATAGGGTTTCCCCTTGTCTATTTCTAGGTTAAATATCCATTTGTAGCGACTTCGTCTTGAAATATTAACCAAAAAAAAGAGAAAATTGTGACTGAATGACGTATAGATCAAAGTTACTTCAGAGATGACATCTTTGCACTGAACATGATGTTGAAAGAATTAAAAACAAATAATTTTCATACATTTTTATATCTGTTGAAAGGTTGGACTGGCAAAAATTAGGGGGGGACTGGCAGTTTCAAAAGCCAGCGGGAACACTGTTGTTGTAGTAGCTGTATTCATTCATTTTTTTCATTCAGGTGAGCGTTATTAAGCCAACATGGTAAAGGGAAACATAACAGGTAACTTCTGCTGAAGGGGCCGTTGTCGGCACAGGTACTACAGATATGTACCCCGGGGACAGAGAAATGTACTCTTGCCACAGAAAGGTACCCCAGGATGAGTCCATTCAGCTGCAGGTTGTATTGTGCAATGCACTTAACCGATTCCTTGAACGCTTATATATACGACACATCCAGTGTACTATGTTAAAATCAAACAAACACAGTGACATCTACGTACTACTCTAATATTCCATGATGCACACCATTATCCAGCATGCACTCGTCATCAGGCGAACCAGGACCATAACATGAACCGGTTTCGGTTTCGGGTTGAGAAATACGGACTCATCCGCTGTTTAGGGTACCAAGTACCTTTCTGTATTCTGATTTTGGCTTGGGTACATTTCTGTATACAGAAACGTACCTGGGGTACATATCCGTATTACTCCTGTCGACAACGACCCCTTCAGTGTAACTTCTCAAGAACATCCTTTATAAGGACTTATAAAGGGAATTGTCTCCAGCCACTTGGCCACACTAGGTTTCTTCATGACCAGTAAATACATACATCTACATTGTGGTGGAAGCTTGACGTATATCTACTTTTAATCATCCAGTGAAATGAGGCATGTTGATTCATGGAAATCAAATGATCCCTTTGTGAAGTGGAAACAAATGCATATCCTGCTCTAATCATGCTAATGATCAACCAAAACAACTGGCTGCGAAATGCTGATTCGTTAATATGAGTGCTGTGCTTGATATATTTACACTAAAACTCTGTAAATTGTTAAGTCTGAATAATACTTGCCAACTGGTAAGCATTTAATCTCTTAATCTAATAATAACCCGACAACTGCGCTTTGGTAGAAACAAGCTGCATGTTCCCAGTGAACACAAACCTTACATACACTGATGATCCAAATAGACATGTGGCCACCTGCACAATCACACTTATTTATTATCTTCAAAACAAAATCATCCAGTCAGCTCAACAGCATCAATGAGGACTTCATCCAATCAGCTAAGTAGAAGCAATGAGGACATCATCCAATCAGCTAAGTAGAAGCAATAAGGACATCATCCAATCAGCTAAGTAGAAGCAATAAGGACATCATCCAATCAGCTTGGTAGCAGTAGTGAGGATGTCATCCAGTCAGCTCAGAAGAAGCAATAAGGATGTCATCAAATCAGCTTAGTAGAAGCAATAAGGACGTCATCCAGTCAGCTTAGAAGAAGCAATAAGGATGTCATCCAATCAGCTTAGTAGGAGTAGTGAGGAAGTCATCCAATCAGCTTAGTAGAAGCAATAAGGACGTCATCCAATCAGCTTAGTAGCAGTTGTGAGGACGTCATCCAATCAGCTCAGAAGAAGCAATAAGGACATCATCCAATAGGCTTAGTAGGAGTAGTGAGGAAGTCATCCAATCAGCTGAGTAGAAGTAGTTAGGACGTCGTCCAATCAGCTTAGTAGAAGTAGTTAGGACGTCATCCAATCAGCTTAGTAGAAGTAGTTAGGACGTCGTCCAATCAGCTTAGTAGGAGTAGTGAGGTCGTCGTCCAATCAGCTTAGTAGGAGTAGTGAGGTCGTCATCCAATCAGCTTAGTAGAAGTAGTTAGGACGTCGTCCAATCAGCTCAGTAGAAGCAATGAGGACATCATCCAATCAGCTTAGTAGAAGCAATGAGGACATCATCCAATCAGCTCAGTAGAAGCAATGAGGACGTCAGCCAATCAGTTCAGTAGAAGCAATGACAACATCATCCAATCAGCTTAGTAGAAGCAATGAGGATGTCAGCCAATCAGCTCAGTAGAAGCAGCAATGACATCATCAAATCAGCTCAGTAGAAGCAATGAGGACGTCATCCAATCAGCTCAGTAGAAGCAATGATAAGGTCATCCAATCAGCTTAGTAGAAGCAATGAGGACGTTATCAAATCAGCTTAGTAGAAGCAATGACGACATCATCCAATCAGCTTAGTAGGAGCAATGAGAACGTCATCCAATCAGCTCAGTAGAAGCAATGATAAGGTCATCCAATCAGCTTAGTAGAAGCAATGAGGACGTTATCAAATCAGCTTAGTAGAAGCAATGACGACATCATCCAATCAGCTTAGTAGAAGCAATGAGAACGTCATCCAATCAGCTCAGTAGAAGCAATGAGGACGTCATCCAATCAGCTTAGTAGAAGTAGTGAGGACGTCATCCAATCAGCTCAGTGGAAGCAATGACGACATTGTCCAATCAGCTCAGTAGAAGCAATAAGGACGTCAGCCAATCAGTTCAGTAGAAGCAATGAGGAAATCATCCAATCAGCTCAGTAGAAGCAATGACGACATCATCCAATCAGCTTAGTAGAAGCAATGAGGACATCATCCAATCAGCTCAGTTGAAGCAATGATAAAGGTCATCCAATAAGCTTAGTAGAAGCAATGAGGACGTCATCCAATCAGCTTAGTAGAAGCAATGACGACATCAGCCAATCAGCTTAGTAGAAGCAATGGGGACATCATCCAATCAGCTCAGTAGAAGCAATGAGGACGTCATCCAATCAGCTTAGTAGAAGCAATGAGGAAGTTATCCAATCAGCTTAGTAGAAGCAATGAGAACGTCATCCAATCAGCTTAGTAGAAGCAATGAGAACGTCATCCAATCAGCTTAGTAGAAGCAATGAGGACGTCAGCCAATCGGTTTAGTAGAAGCAATGACGACATCCAATCAGCTCAGTAGAAGCAATGACATCATCCAATCAGCTCAGTAGAAGCAATGAGAACGTCATCCAATCAGCTCAGTAGAAGCAATGAGAACGTCATCCAATCAGCTCAGTAGAAGCAATGTGGACATTATCCAATCAGCTCAGTAGAAGCAATGAGGACATCATCCAATCAGCTCAGTAGAAGCAATGAGGACGTCATCCAATCAGCTTAGTAGAAGCAATGAGGAAGTTATCCAATCAGCTTAGTAGAAGCAATGAGAACGTCATCCAATCAGCTTAGTAGAAGCAATGAGGACGTCATCCAATCAGCTCAGTAGAAGCAATGAGAACGTCATCCAATCAGCTCAGTAGAAGCAATGAGGACATTATCCAATCAGCTCAGTAGAACCAATGAGGACATCATCCAATCAGCTCAGTAGAAGAAGGGAGGACGTCATCGAATCAGCTCAGTAGAAGCAATGACGACGTCATCCAATCAGCTCAGTAGAAGCAATGATGACATCATCCAATCAGCTGAGTAGAAGCAATGACGACATCATCCAATCAGCTTAGTAGAAGCAATGATGACATCGTCCAATCAGCTCAGTAGAAGCAATGATGACATCGTCCAATCAGCTCAGTAGAAGCAATGAGGACGTCTTCTAATCAGGACATCAGCCAATCAGCTTAGTAGAAGCAATGACTACATCATTCAATCAGCTTAGTAGAAGCAATGACGACATCCTCCAATCAGCTCAGTAGAAGCAATGACGACATCATCCAATCAGCTCAGTAGAAGTAGTGAGGACGTCATCCAATCAGCTTAGTAGAAGTAGTGAGGACATCATCCAATCAGCTGAGTAGAAGCAATGACGACATCGTCCAATCAGCTTAGTAGAAGCAATAAGGACATCATCCAATCAGCTCAGTAGAAGCAATAAGGACGTCATCCAATCAGCTCAGTAGAAGCAATGACGACATCATCCAATCAGCTCAGTAGAAGCAATGAGGACTTCATCCAATCAGCTCAGTAGAAGCAATAAGGACATTATCCAATCAGCTCAGTAGAAGCAATAAGGACATCATCCAATCAGCTCAGTAGAAGCAATGATGACATCGTCCAATCAGCTCAGTAGAAGCAATGACGACGTCATCCAATCAGCTCAGTAGAAGCAATATGGAGATCATCCAATCAGTGGAAAGTGTGTACCATAATGCACTTACAAAGGTCGTGATGGACTGTATGGCCATAAGCTGGTGCCCGTTACGAAGACTGCAGTTTGTAGTAAGCCAGCAAATCTTCAATACCTTCATCTTGTTCGTCACACAGAGACAGCTTCTTAACACCACTTGATAATTCTGAATCAACCTTACTAGCCTTGACCTTTGTCTTGACCTCATCAGTGACCTTTGCACCATCTCCTGTTTCCAACTCGTCCTCTGAGCAGATATCTGACGGTATTGGGTTTGATGAGGACACATTTTCCACTTCGGCTGTTCTGTCTTTTCGACGGTTAGTGCTCTGTGTTAGATACTCATTAATTTTGAAAGTGACACCATCACTGAGCAGTCGCATGGCGATGCGTGCGATGTTCCTGGCATCATCCCGCCCACAATGAAGCTGACCTTCGAAGGACATACCAAGGCTGATGAGCATGGCCTCGATACCACATCGACGACACTGGTAGAAGTTGCTGGAAAAAGGAAACACTTGCTCACATATTTCATTATTTTCACATAACTACACAATACATAAATATACATAATCTCAAATTGACAATCTTCCAGCCTCCTGGGCCCCGTTCCACAAAGCAAATGTAGCACAAACACGATCGTAACTCCCATACTTTAACATAGACTTACGACTGTCGTAGCGTTAAGATCGCTATGTTGAGCAGGGCCCAGGCCTTCATCAGACATAATCTTTTGGTTTAGTACTAAATTACAGGAGATGACTTGTTCAACAATTTCTGTATTTGATGAAGTTATGTATATTCATTTTAATTTTCCTATGGGATCACAAAAAATGTACATAAGAATAGTCTCTGAGTCTAAATCTGTTTTGAATAGCATATGAGTCATATCACACAAATACACTGACCACTGATATGATGTTTGTTTTTTAACACCATACTCAGCAATAGTAGACAATAGTGGACCAGACAATCCAGTGATTGATATTATGAGCATCGACCCAGGCAATTGGGATACGATGACATGCATCAACCAAGTCATCAAGCTTGACCACCCGACCTCGTTAGTCGCCTCTTACGACATGCATAGTTGCCTTTTACGGCAAGCATGGGTTGCTGAAGACCTATTCTACCCCGGATCTTCATGGGTGACTATGTCACATGACCATCTATGTTACCTGTAGACTTTCCTGATGTTCACCCACTTGCGGGCCCAGCGTGGGAAGTCCAGGCCACTGAATTGACACTGCATGTGGAGGAACCGGCTCATGTCCCAGGGACTGCAATCAATGTCACCGTCATGATTTAAAGTCGGTTGGTTGGTTGGTTGGTTGGTTTGTTGTTTAACGCCGCACTCAGCAATATTACAGCTATATGACGGCAGTCTGTAAATAATCGAGTCTGGACCAGACAATCCAGTGATTGACATCATGAGCATCGATCCACGTAATTGGGATCGATGACATGCATCAACCAAGTCAGTGAGCCTGACCACCCGATCCTGTTAGTCACCTTTTACGACAAGCATAGTCGCTTTTTATGGCAAGCATGGATTTAAAGTCGGGGACATACACATGACATCAGCCATATCACTGCAATAACTGGGGCAATGAAGACCTGGTCTTATGCAAGCCAAACAGGGCCCCACTCCACAGACTGCAGTTAGGACTACAATGATTGTAAGCCTATGTTACAGTTACCAAAACGTACAATCATCATAGCACTGTGAATGCATGGTGAAATGGGCCCTAATGCTTTAACCACCAGCAAGGTTGACACCAAATTTCACTTACTGAATGCCTCCATTTAAAGACCCAATAAACAAATAAATCATCCAAGTCCACACACCAGGGTTTCAAAATTATTTAATCATTAATCTAGAGACTAATACTCATTATTAGCAAGAAAAATCATTACCATATCTCCATGTCCGAATGATGAGATCTGATTGTTTCACGTGATATTTGATAAAATAATATGTATCCTGACTCTATTGACAAGAATAAGTTACTGGAAGAGGAAGATATCACACCCACCCGTCTGTGACGATGGCGAATGAGTGTCCGTCTCCTAGATGGTGAGCCTGCATCCATTCTGAGAAAGATGTCAGAACCTGTGGGAATTCTGGTGCAGCAGCCACTTTAGTCTGAATTACAACACAACTGTTCATAGTTACCTGTGAAGTAGGACAAGTTACCTGTGTGAATGTAGGAAGTAGGACAAGTTACCTGTGTGAATGTAGGAAGTAGGAAAAGTTACCTGTGTGAATGTAGGACGTAGGACAAGTTACCTGTGTGAATGTAGGACGTAGGACAAGTTACCTGTGTGAATGTAGGAAGTAGGACAAGATACCTGTGTGAATATAGGAAGTAGGACAAGTTACCTGTGTGAATGTAGGACGTAGGACAAGTTACCTGTGTGAATGTAGGAAGTAGGACAAGTTACCTGTGTGAATGTAGGAAGTAGAACAAGTTACCTGTGTGAATGTAGGAAGTAGGACAAGTTACCTGTGTGAATGTAGGAAGTAGGACAAGTTACCTGTGTGAATGTAGGAAGTAGGACCAGTTACCTGTGTGAATGTAGGAAGTAGGACAAGTTACCTGTGTGAATGAAGGAAGTAGGACAAGTTACCTGTGTGAATGTAGGAAGTAGGACAAGTTACCTGTGTGAATGTAGGAAGTAGAACAAGTTACCTGTGTGAATGTAGGAAGTAGGACAAGTTACCTGTGTGAATGTAGGAAGTAGGACAAGTTACCTGTGTGATTGTAGGAAGTAGGACAAGTTACCTGTGTGAATGTAGGATGTAGAACAAGTTACCTGTGTGAATGTTGGAAGTAGGACAAGTTACCTGTGTGAATGTAGGAAGTAGGACAAGTTACCTGTGTGAATGTAGGAAGTAGGACAAGTTACCTGTGTGAATATAGTAAGTAGGACAAGTTACCTGTGTGGATGTAGGAAGTAGGACAAGTTACCTGTGTGAATGTAGGAAGTTGGACAAGTTACCTTTGTGAATGTAGGAAGTAGGACAAGTTACCTGTGTGAATGTAGGAAGTAGAACAAGTTACCTGTGTGAATGTAGGAAGTAGAACAAGTTACCTGTGTGAATGTAGGAAGTAGGACAAGTTACCTGTGTGATGCCTGTCAGCTGGACACAGAAGTCCGTCAGCCGGGGATTCAACACAGGCCTGCAGTAGGAGTGAAACTCATCTGCCTGACAACAAATTTCGTCCATATAAAGTTTGTTTGTTTGTTGTTTAACGCCGCTCTCAGCAGTATTCCAGCTGCATAGCAGTGGTCTGTAAATAATCATATCTTGACCAGACAATCCAGTGATTGACCTCATGAGCATCGATCTACACAAGTGGGACATGATGACATGCACCAACCAAGTCAGCGAGCCTGACTACCCGATCCCGTTAGTCACCTCTTACGACAAGCATAGGTTGCTGAAGACCAATTCTAACCCGGATACAAGATCGGCTCACCATATATCAAATATTATCTATCAAAATAAGTGTCTCACAGTCCACAACAGAAGCATGTTCAGGGTTGAAATGTCTTTCTTAAACTTTCAAATTATAAGGATCAAATCTAATCAATGCAAGACCACCATTTCTTTCAGAAAGCAGCCTATGCAGTCAACTAAAATGATGGTTTTATGTAAAATGTGAATCGCATTATATATCCTAATAATGCAATATCTAAATCTGAATAGAACATTTTCACATCTTAACAAGTTTAACAAGAAACCTATTCATTCCTAAAATCTAAACCAGACATTCATCCACTCATAAAAGGCCACGTAACCCTGTTCTATAATAGGTAGCCATCGGTTGTCTAAGTAGAGGCAATTTATGGATAACAACTTCTTTATTTACTGTGAAGGCGACGTTTTGGTATAGATCCTTATACCGTTGTCAAGCAAGGCTGAATAATGATCATAGGCAACGTTTCGGTATAGATCCTTATACCGTTGTCAAGCAAGGCTGAATAATGATCATAGGCAATGTTTCGGTATAGATCCTTATACCGTTGTCAAGCAAGGCTGAATAATGAACATAGACGACGTTTCGGTTAAGATCATTATACCGTTGTCAAGCAAGGCTGAATAATGATCATAGGCAACGTTTCGGTATAGATCCTTATACCGTTGTCAAGCAAGGCTGAATAATGAACATAGACGACGTTTCGGTTAAGATCATTATACCGTTGTCAAGCAAGGCTGAATAATGATCATAGGCAACGTTTCGGTATAGATCCTTATACCGTTGTCAAGCAAGGCTGAATAATGAACATAGACGACGTTTCGGTTAAGATCATTATACCGTTGTCAAGCAAGGCTGAATAATGATCACAGGCGACATTTCGGTATAGATCCTTATACCGTTGTCAAACAAGGCTGAATAATGATCATAGGCAACGTTTCGGTTAAGATCCTTATACCGTTGTCAAGCAAGGCTGAATAATGATCATAGGCAACGTTTCGGTTAAGATCCTTATACCGTTGTCAAGCAAGGCTGAATAATGAACATAGACGACGTTTCGGTTAAGATCATTATACCGTTGTCAAGCAAGGCTGAATAATGATCACAGGCGACATTTCGGTATAGATCCTTATACCGTTGTCAAGCAAGGCTGAATAATGAACATGGCTTCCTGTCTAATTGGCTTCCTCATCATCGGTCCATCATGCTGTAACCATGGTTACAGTACTATATGCTTTTATTCCTCCATAGTCACTTTAGAAGTTGCACATATCATATAGTCTGGTCATCACAGATATTTGGAACAGTTCTTGATCCTCATCGGACAGGGAAACAGGAGGCTGACAGGACAGGAGACTGCAGACAAGATCAGTGTCGGATCTATCTTGGAGATGGACACTGAGTTCCACAGGACCAATGTTGATGATGTCACACCACAGCATGTCTCGATACATGCTTAAAGCCTCACAATGACACAGGGCGTGTGTTAGAAGGTCGTCGTAGTGTAGACCACAGAGAAAGCAGCCTCCTTGAACAACGCCTTCCGTTATCATTGTTTAATCTACTCACATCAATCTCTCTGATGTATGCAATTGTTGTTATTGTTAATCTTCCACCTACTGTATGTATTCTGTACCATGTTCTTTATTCAGCTTGCTTGACAACGGTATAAGGATCTATTCAGAAATGTCGCCTTGACAGTAAATAAAGAAGTTGTTATTCATAAATTGCCTCTACTATGTCATCTGTCAACATCTGAGTAATGCCTATCAAACAATTACCGTATTCGACGTAATAAGCGCCCAGGGCGCTCTCAAAATTAGAAATAGGGGGCTCTTATTAGAATATTATTTTGATGGAAAAAAACAGAGTTGAAAGATAAATTTCGTGGTTTATGCTGACGGTCTGAACTGTTTATATACAACAGATATATTTTTCGAGAATTGACTTGCCCAAAATTAAGGGTGCATATAACACACGAGTGCGTATTATACACGAATAAATAAGTCTTGTGTACATTGACCAATCGGAAGGGATGCTAATTGGGATTGTTCACTTGCCAATATATTAGCAAATATCGCCGTGGGCGCTTATTAGAGCGGGGCGCTTATTACGTCGAATACGGTAATCGGTTATCCCAACTCACAATGGTCATCTCGGCTACATCGACCAGTATTGCTGGGAACTCGATGATCTCATGCTGGTAGTCGTCCACCTCCCTCTCACACGTGGCCTCGAAGTCAATGACAACAAGGTAGTCGTACTTAGTGCTGCCTGGGGTCTTGATGCGCGCCTTCATCAACTTTTGCTTCTTGTAGAAATTCTTTAATCGGCGTTTCAGAACTTCTTTCACCCCACTGCAACACAGCAAACATATAAGTTTTGATTGTTTGAAGTTTAACTCCGCAATATTCCAGCTATATGATCGTACGCAGGAAATAATACATGGGAAGGCAAACAGGAAAATAAATCCTATTTCAACATGTTCAAATCAAATGTACTTTCTTCTTTGAGAAAAAATAAGTTTTCGCACATATTTCCTTCCTAAAATAAAGGAGATTGCCTACCTCAGCCATCACCCAGTTGCCTCAGGACCATCTTCCTGAGGCAAGGGAGTTAACTGACTATAAAAGTCCAGTTTCCGTCCTTGCCAAACTAGGCTGGAATTTCTGGACTTGATCGTAGCCCCACCAGTGGCTATTATGAGTTATGTCCCTTTTATGTCCCTCCTATTGATCATTCAGATTCCACCTCTAATCTCACTTGCATTTGCTTCAAACAAAATGGCGGCACCCAGTCAAGACGATCTGATTGATAATCAAAATCTATATCGTGATAAAATGGGTCTTACTTTGCGAAGTCCATTAAATAAGGTGAGCACCTAATTAAAAACATGAAAAGATTTGGGAAATGCCGACTTTGCAAATCCTGCAATCAACTGAAATCTACACGGCAGTTATCATGGTTATGAATCTAATGTCAATTTTGCTACGCAATTTTGATTGGACAATGCATAGGCTTGTTAGTCCAGCCAATATAACTCCAGCCTAGTTCCAGCCTCAAGTTGTTTTTGAAGAAAGTCATCTTCTGGAGAGTGTTGGGCTTTCCATCCACATTATGCTGATGCACAGAGATATAATTGAAATACTGTTGTCTCTCACTCAACAGAACCAGAGCCATCAGTGTGATGAGTGAAAACTTTAACCACAAGACTACCCTACCATGCCAGTTGTCCTCCTCAATACTGACATACTTAGTATCAGTGGGGGTGAGTGAGTGGGTATGGTTTTATGCTGCTTTTGGCAATATTCCAGCAATATCACAGCGGGGGGACACTAGAAATGGGCTTCACACATTGTACCCATGTCGGGAATCGAACCCGGGTCTTCAGCGTTACACTAGGCTACCCGACCGCCCCTACTTAGTATCAAAGAAAAGGCAACTTATCACGACTTACTTGGTGTCTAGTTTGAGTGCTGTCAGTTTTGCTTTCAGTTGGTCTTTCGTCATCTTGTTAATCTCTCCATTCAGCCGAGCCAGCTTCTTGTACACTGGATCTGAAAACTCTCCCACACTTGCGACATCCTTCTTGGACTTGGAATGGTCAGTTGTTGCCCTCTGTAATACTGGATACTAAAGTATCATGGTTATCACACATGTGTCAAGAGGGAATTCCATAAGAAATCTATATGTTATAACTACTAGAAGATGTCATCAGCCATAGGCAATTTGCCAATTACCAGTCTTTAATTGTAGCGTAGCAAAACGGAATACATTTTGTAGCAAATTTCAATGTAAATTTTACATTGGGAAAAAAGGGGTAATATTTAATTTCTGGTAGTTTTGCATTGAAAAGATGTTTGGGATTATCTGCCCCTGGACAGAGGTGAAGGCTTCATGAAATTTTCCTCCACCTGCCTGACTGTCCGGCAGATATTTTTAGGACTGCTTACGTATTGAGTTTTAACTCCTTGTAGATTCTCAAGTAACTGTTTGCATTACTCCAACAGAAATGAATCAAGATGCGATTTTCTCTTACTTTTTTAGATTTTTCAACATTAATAACTTCTGAAAGCGGGCAGGCAACTTTGAAAACACTTATGGGTCACCTGCCTGACCGTCTTGTTGGGTTTTCAAATTATTTCAAACACTGGCTTGGTATTCTCTGTTTCCTTTCGCTCTATATCTCTGCAGCAATTCATATTTCCAGAAGCCGTCAATGAGGCTGAATTGTTTATATTTTCCCCATGAAAACTATCATACAAAGTAGTGTCAGAGCCTCATGATAATTCTACTGTCTCACATTTTATGACATTTTACCATGTTTACGTCACTATCAGCATGATCAGAATAGTGCACATTTTACTTATGATGAAATATATGTTTACCTCTTATATTGAAAAGAGACATTTTTTTTAAATAGCAAGTGGCAAATAGAATCTGTTTATGTTCACCAACCAATCACATTCAAGTATTCTCAAACTTTGGTTTGAGTGACCAATGCAAAGGAAACTCATAATATTGGTAGAATTCATGAACATTTCGAAAACGGTATCAATATTGAGTTGTTCCCTTGTTAGTTGAATGATAATATTTAGTGTTTAGGAGTAGTGCACTTTACCGTGCACTTTTTCAGATCCAATTGGCACCGTGGGGGCTAGGGCTCACTTCGTCGGCATACTGACTTGGCTTATTGGCAATTAACTAACTGACGCTCTACCACTGGACCAAGAGTGCCATCACATGTAATTAGTGCTTGTTTAACGAATAATTAGCACCTCATTAACACGCATACGCAGTTAAGTCAACAATGAATTGCACATGCGTGTTACTGATGTCACACCCTCTCGATTCATCTTTTTGAGGAAGCCATGCCTGGCATTGCCCATCAAAACATATTAAAAAGGGCTACTGTAATAGAATTACCCTCACTGAATTTGGGGAAACACCGCAAAAAGGTAAGAATTTATGGCTAACTTTAGCCCTCACCAGGCTAACCCTTAGCATCAAAAAGGGGTGTTGGATCGTAAAGGCATGTCAGCACCCAAAGATTGAAATGGGGTGTTGGATCGCAAAGGCGTATCAGCTCCCTGAGACGAGTGTGAGTGCATTTTAGCATGAGCCACGGTAACGGTATAGCGCGGTAATTGAGCTGTCGGTATTACGTGAACTTACTAATAGAGACTGATAAATGTATGAAGTAGAATGACATGATTACGTGAGTTTGTGATTTGAATCTACAGAGGAAATGATGCTACATACTGCATGGTAAGTAGATGACACCTATATCCCAGTGTTATGGGTTTTCAGACACTTAAGAAACATTCCTATATATATATATAGTATGACTCAATGTTATTGCGGGCTCTATATTATTGCGGTATCGGTAAACCTTGTAATCCACACCCCCTGTGGACTGTTTACTTATAAAATCTAACCATGATATTTCATCGCTTGATTGAATGCAGGACTCGTTGCAGTATGTCACGGCGGCTACTCGTAAGTATACATGTTTACTTTTTTATGATAGTGTCTAGAAGTTTTTCAGGTGGAATTACCCCTTCCTCTATTCGAAATTGGTTAGAAAAGAACCTGTTTCCTTAGACGAAGTCCCCTGACCCCACCAAGGTTGTATGCATATTGAGTATGCATAATCCAAAAGGGGAAGTAATGTAAACCACATAATAAACGTAAATCACACCATAGTCCTAATATTGCCATACCACAATAATATAGGGTTGCCCACCCTTGAGTCACTAATGACAGGTACTTTGTTTACCAAATTCGTTACACAAAATCAGCATCACAAAAGTTGAACAAGAAACATTTTGCTGGTGACATATTTAATAGGTCAGTAAGTGTGCGCCATTACCATCCATGATATCGACAAATACCCTATTTTCGAACAGCCATATTTGATATTTATTTGTCGCTACGAGAGGTGTGACGTCATGAAAACTGCCGCCTGGAGAGTGCACGAGTTTGGCCTGTCAACATTGGGTTCATGTGAAGTACTGTACACCTGACAAAACATTCCCTCGTCATTCAGAATATTGGTGTCCGTGTCATGATAAAAGGAAGAGTAAAATACTGTCAACACAAATATTGATATCTTGTGAATAGGTTTCAAACTTTCAATTACTTATTGAGAAATGTGCGCCCAAACATGTCTGTTCATTCATGGGAACGCCGCTAAAGTATGTTTCCAATCAGGTGTTGAAAATAGGTGATGTCACTCGAGTGAATTGGAAGTTTACAGCCGAGGTAATGGAGGTCACGCCTTTTAGCAAGGATTTGTTTTCTTTCGGAATGTAGCTAAATTCTATTACTGAAGACATCACTTAATGGTATGAAGCAGAATTCGAGTTTTGATTCACTCATCCGTCAAAATATCAGCAATGCCATCTCAACGATAAATTAACTACAGCGATAATATAGCGCACCGTCCTAATAGCAGTGGTGTCTTCTGACGAAAGTCAAATGAGGAAGAAAAATATATCATTAGTAAACATTTAATTGTTCTAAACCCATAACATCCAGTGATAACAGAGTACTTTAATAAGAAACGTGCCGTTATTCTGTAAATAGAATGCACGTATCAGTAAACAACCTGTTCCTGAAAGCGCCGATGTGTGTTTGCAATTGTTCAAGTTGTTGTGATCGAAATCTGGACGACATATGATCATTAACGGTTTAGACTTTTCAAAGCAAATATATGAACCTACATCAATATCCTTCTTGGTTATCGTTAAAGAACCACTTGTTTTCGCCTCTTCTCCCTCATTGTGCTCTCTTAACGGCTGATCACTCTTAGAAGAAAGTTTACTCTCCATTTCAGCTTCCATCGGCTGAACGGATAAAATACGGACACAATTTAAAAAATATTATTGAAAAGTAAACTCGCCGAATAAACGGAATTCCAATTTATATACATAAAAGCATAGCATTAAAATGGTCTTGGTGACGTTATCGTTTATTTAGAATACTGGTCACTATATTATATACAGCACCAATCTCATTAAAATCAGATCTTAGTTCTCGCTATCGCTAAACATAGCGGTAGCGAAAACTAAGATCTGATTTTAATGAGATTGTATTCAGCACCTAAGGCCATTCACTATCTTGGTTATTGTGGTTAACATTAAATGTACTGGCTTTATTGCTTTCAGAGACATATACCATTTTATTGGTATATATGGTCTCCGTTACTTACAAAGACCAAAATATCGATATCTTGCTACGTACACACTACTTGCATTTATGAACTGAATACGATTTTCAAAAATTTTCTAGATTTTTTAAGATATAATACAATATGTATATTGACTGATTCACTCAGACAATGTACATATTGCCCAATCAATTCATTGTGGAAACGTTTTAATTACTTAATTAGAAGTTATTTTGACCTTAGTGAGATCCAAATTAAAATGAGGAGATTACATTAAAGGAATCTTCTCATTTCAGTCAACCTGCGTAATGTCCTTTTCCAGGCAATATGTATATTGAATGAACATTTCCTGAGTGTACATATTGACTGATTATAGACACAAAGATTCCTAACCCCTGGAATTAAGCTCCTATTCATGCTGTCAAAACAACTAATTCTAGCTTCACGCGATGTCGCCAGAATTATATTTTTGTATGAACACTGTGTGCCTTATAAGATGTGTGTGCATTTCCTATGCCGTGACACTGCGATATTCTGCTGACGTTGGAGAGTTAAGGAGCGCTTCTTGCTTTTTGTGGACTATGTATGAACGCTTCATTTTTCAAACCTGCCCGCAGTAGTGCGCATGGGATTTGGTTTATGGGTGTAGAACCTAAACTCTAAACTAGATTATATTGGTCGTTAGTGCTACATATAAAGTCCGGAATTCTGGTGTTAAGTCATCATTAGATAAGTGTACTTTTATGATAACAGGACTAGTTATCTGGGATCGTGCAAACATTCTGGTGTTCCGATCGTACTTTGTAAGCATGTGAGTGAATGTGGTTTTACGCCGCTTTTAGTAATATCCCAGCAATATCACGGCGCGGGACACCAGAAATGGGGGTCACACATTGTACTCATGTGGGGAATCGAACCCGAGTCTTCGTCGTGCCGAGCGAACGCTTTAACCACTAGGCTACCCCACCGCCAGTGTAAACATGTAACGATAACACATAGTCTCGTTTGATTCCACCGTTGATGATTCTTATATTTTACATGACAAAACATATTATTAACTAGAACATAAAAACGAACCAAAAATTAATGAATATGATTGTATCAGGAATATTTTTAGTTTCAGTTAACATATATATAAGTAAACATGGCGCGTAGATTTAAACAAAAAACATACAATATTGAAACAGAACAGCTCTCTCGGTCTTTATTGTTTGTTTGTTTGTTTGTTGTTTAACGCCGCACTCAGCAATATTCCAGCTATATGATGGTGGTCTGTAAATAATCGAGTCTGGACCAGACAATCTAGTAATTGACATCGTGAGCATTGATCCTCGCAATTGGCATCGATGACATACATCAACCAAGTCAGCGAGCCTGACCACCTGATCCCGTTAGTCGCTTCTTATGACAAGCATAGTCGCCCTTCACGGCAAGCACGGGTTGCTGAAGACCTATTCTACCCCGGATCTTCACGGGTCTCGAGGCCGCCATCTGTCAACATTTACTCTGTTCATGCCAACACAGTGGACAGGTCGGGATATTCGTTACGGGACATCGAAACAGTATGGAGCATGATAAAAGGGTAACTTCTTATCTAGTATTAAGAACCTGCCAAAACAATTCCTGCCAAAATAGAGCCGCTATTTCAACGCGTATGTTGATAAAGAATAACGAAAAAGACTGTATTAGCCAAAGATACAATCGCCACAACTAAAAAACTATCTTGAAAAAACAACAACACTTGTGTCTGACTGCCATCAGGACCAACTTACTTTAGAACCTGCAGGCCCTGACCAAACTCTTCAGGCCCTCAATTAGAAAAAAACAACAACTGCAGCTGACTGTGACAAATAAATCGACACGTAAATTTACTGCAGGCCATGAGGACCCGTGCACATTTCAAACTACGGGCCTGACACAAGATCTACCAGCCACGGGCCTATGGGCAGGGACTTATTTTGAACATTGCTCAGAAATGTTTACTGTTGTAATATTGTTGAAAGCTGGAAATCTACAATGTTGGAAGCACTCGTAAAAGCACCCACTCTCTGGTAGAAAATCACTTTTATAATATAGCTATAATTATAGCTTGTGTGTTGTTTAACACCACACTCAACAATTTTCCAGTTATATGACGACAGCATGTAAATAATCGAGTCTGGGCCAGACGATCCAGGGATTGACATCATTAGCGATCAACGCAATTAGTATACGTTGACATGCATCTACCAAGTCAGCGAGTCTGACCACCCGATCCACTTTTCAACCATACTCTGCTTGATAACGGTGCTAGAACCTACATCGAAACGTCGCTCCTAATTGTAATAAGATGTCTTATCCTTACTTATAATTCAAACTTCTAAATGCCTCCCAAACAAGTGATGTCAGTGATGTATTGTTATACCATCTCCAAGGTTAAGATAATCTTTTTGGAAGACTCTTACATAGAATGTAAATGGTTCAGATGCGTGTGGATATTGACAAACCTATAGAGATGTTGTCTGAATTGTCATCTGAATTGTTTTTGTTTAACGCCGCACTCAGCAATATTCCAGCTATATGACTGTGTTTTTTTGTGTAAATAATCGAGTCTGGACCAGATAATCCAGCGATTGATATGATGCTTAAGCATCGATGAAAACAAATAACAGTGAAAATGTATTTTGGACGTTGTCGGTTAAATTGATCCGGGTAATATGCCACATACAATATTAAAAAATACCACATTATGGCGAATTGTGTTTTAATAAGAGAGTCGTCAAATCGGAAACGTATGCATTGATATTTCTGTAAATTATTTGGTTTCAGAACAGTGATTCATTTTATGAGTTGAATACAGCTGTGGATGGGTCACAAGCTCCTCACAGCGATAGCACGTTCCCGGAGCTCTCTCTCTCTCTATATATATGTTACCTAGAGTGTAACGAAGGTGTCACGCGCTGGGAAGGAGCTTGGATGGGTCAATTCAAAGGGAGTTAACTCCACGATCAATTTTATTTATGTAGTAAGCGGTCAAAATGGCAGGTCCTTGGAACCTGTTTACGTTTTTGACATTTGGAATTTGGATCTTTGCATTCGCCTTCACAAGGCAGGTTTAGATGTTTACTATTTTATATAATACGAATGAAGCGCAGATCATTTTAACATCGTGTTTTGATTGTAATGATTGCGATACGACTGTTCCAGAAAATCCCTCACTGAGCATTCTGAAAGCATATAAAAATTAGGTTTCGATACCTTGACTGCCTGGAGGCTGGACATAAGCCAACATCAGGAATGCAGTCAGACCTGGAATACGTAGACTGCAGGTTACCGACCGCACACTAATTGGTTCAGTGACATCGTTTTCATTTACGATCTAATCTCATAACGTTAATTTAGTTTTTGTTACCTTTACCTGTTTACTACCTTAGTTATTCATTCTTATTCCACCGAATGCTTTGAGCAATTTAACATACTTAATTATATTTTGCATGTATGTCACTTGCCTGATAAAGGTACAAGCATCTTTACTGAAACGTCTCATTGAAAGTCAGCTTAAATTACTTCAATGTTGCAACAGCTTTTAAAATGCCACTTAAACATGTTAATGTATGTCATAATATGTAGGCTACAGTGAACTTTTCTGCTGTTTTTGGTATTTGAGGTCATACAGTTCAGCATGTTCTTTAGTTGCTGGAACAGGGCGGTCTGGTAGCCTAGTGGTTAAAGTGTTCTCTCGTTAAAGGGGCACTGATCTAACGGACTGGTTGTTGCCTTTGTTATTGTTTTTCCCCCGTGAGTACCCGGATGATACGCAACGCAACTGAGCGTGACCAGAGACTGGGGTACCGTCTGCAAGGACAGCTAAATAAACTTGGAGGCTGGAGGCAATATTTGTTTTACGCATTTTTGAACACTGATTGGTTAACTGTGATCTATAAAGATTTCGACAAAGGGCGCATGTTAATTTATTTCTTCAGCCTAAACAAACAAAAAGAACAAGGGAGCTCATCGGATGTCGTCATTTGGAAATACCCCAGATGGTTATAGTTTAATACTAAAAACAGTATCCATGCAGTGAAAGCATTTTCGGATATCGGCTTGCGTCGATAATACGATTACTACTCCCTTGTTGTCATCCACGTTTTCTCGTATAACCCTACACTTGTGTATTTGTCGTCATTCAATTGATGCTCAGTTAATGAATTTATTACAGGTACAATTAGTGGTAGCACCACTTATATTACCAGACAAAGGTTCCCATTTGGCATTTATTGTGTCTGGGGTAATTATTCAATCTAAATCCAGGTTTGAAGTGAGGTGAAATGTGTGTTATGTAATATGCACGTGGCAGCCCAGCAAGAGATGAATGATCAGTTGATTTACTGTTTTTGTAAATCAACGGATCGTTCCTAGTCATCAAAGGATTAACAGAAAATACGTTGATTGATTAATCACTGTTATCTTGCACAGTGGATATGTCAAGAGTGAGTGTTTACATGTCTAGGTTTACTAAAACAAAGGGAATACACTCATATCATGGCACGAAATGCCGATGTAAAAACAACATACTTTGTTCAAAGGGTTAACTGATAATACGTTGATTGATTGATCACTGTTATCTATCACTCAATGGATTTTTTAGGAACCGTGGACGCTATGAAAATAGTTGTCACGTGGGCTTTCTCAGCCGACCATTGAGACTTGACACCTATGTAAAACACCTGAAACAATCCAAGCGATCAGTTGAGAAACGAACACAGGTATAATATCCCGAAACGATATATATCTTTTAAAATATTTGATTGTAACTGAGACACGTGACATCGAATAAGTTTCTTTGTACAGCTGCAGACGAGTGGGATATTGTTCCTTTCTGTGGATATTCACGGATACATTCCTCGAACAAGGAAGCTGCCTAAAACTTATACACATAAATTTGGTAGGTTGTAATTATGATATCTGCATTTTGTTTTCCTTCATTTGAACCCATTCGTTCTTGTTTCTCTACGTCTTGGTTGGGAAATTCTTCAATGCGCGATAGTCGTTGTTGTCACAGGTCTTTTCCTTTGTAAGCGTGTATATATTACCGTCAATTTGTAAAATGTGATTCTCTCAGGCAATTTATAAAATGTGTAAATATTTCAGTCATTTTGACTAAAAAATCTGCCCAGATTGATCAAGACGATCAAAAGGGCCTACAAACATCACAACAGATTATTATGTAGGATTAAAAGCCAAACAACTTAGAAATGTACTTTTCAACGTTACATTTTCAGTCTCTTGGTGATGACATTAAACATCAAAATGTTTGGAATTCGTTGTCAAAATAATACAGATGGAAATGTTTTTCAGTCACTTTGTAAAATAACTGAATATTTAGACGTTTAATAAATTTGTTACACATTTGACAGTAAAAAAATATACACACTATAAAAAAAGCATATGCTCAGGTGAAATATATACTTTGTGTTGCAAGTCAAAATAGTAAGTGTAAACGAAAATCGCAAAATTACCAAGAAAGTGACTTATCAAAACTTCGTCACCATTACCGATGCTACTCACAAAGATACCTACATTTCCTTATTATCTCGAAAACTGTATTTCATTTTGTTGATCAATGTGACCATACGCCCTTATTACTACCCATAAAAGTGACTAACGCGCTTACGAATGGCGCAGCAGAGGTCGCGAACTAGTCTAGATTTCTGCTATACATCCGGGTACTCACTGGGAAAAAACAATAACAAAGGCAACAACCAGTCCCGGGGAATTGCGTTAGATCAGTGCCCCTTTAAGCCGAAGACCCGGGTTCGATTCCCCACATGGGTACAATGTGTGAAGCCCATTTCTGGTGTACCCCGCCGTGATATTGCAGGAATATTGCTAAAAGCGGCGTAAAACCATACACACTAGTTGCTGGAACATGTGAGAGTTGGGCTGCAACTGCATTTCATAAAAAAAATGTTCGTCATAAAACAATATCTGTTGCTTAGTATGGAGTATATCATGTACATCTCTATTCAGTCAGAAAGTAAATTGTGTTCTCAAGGTAATAATGTCATGAAGAATTATAACAGCATGTGTAACATATTCATTGCAGGATATCATCAGCAGTATTGTTATTGTGTCTTGTACCTGGAATACTGCTGGGTGTGGTGTAAAACAACAAGCAAACAATGTTTGATTGATATCATGGTCATGTGATATCTAGATTTCTATGGTTATGACTAATTTTAGCGTTTCTTTCTCTCTTTATGCAAACATTCCTTCTAACTTTATATGTTTCAGTGTGGGTATAACCAAATTATTTTATACGTGTGTAAATAAATTTTGCCAGGGCTACGGTGAAACTATTCCCAATCGGACATTTGGACCTATCACTTGAGACCTATAGAGGGTACCCGGGTAGGGTCGGGTAATAGAGGGGTGGGTACCCGGGTAGTAAATTTGGACTCCTCCCAGCCCAAATGGTAATGTAGTGTCATAGATTTTGAATTATTGGTTTGTTTTGCAGTGCATCTGTATCCTACTGTTGGTATGGTGATATTGAATCTCATGCATCATTGATGAATGAAACATGTGCATCAGGAAAAGTGAGCATGGCTAACATTGTGTCCCGAGAGAATGGTGCCGCTACAACGCTACCACCACCACAGAACTTGACTCACTCAACGGCGGGGGCAGCTGTGTCCGTCAGTAAAGTTGCACACTGCATGATCTTCAGGTACATGAAGCACACCGAGATTGGGGCAAGACAGAAGACCTATGAAATCAGCATGTACGCCAACTACTCGTGTGACCATCCTGGGTTGTGTAAAGGCATAAGAAGTGGATGGTTGTTCAATGTGAGTATGGACAGCATTAAGTATAGTATGACTCTATTTTATCATGGCATTGGTCAATCTTGTAATCCACACACCCTGTTGACTGTTTACTTAAATGCAAATCTAGGCACAATATTTCACCACTTGATCAAATACAGGACTTGTTGCGCTACGTCACAGGTACTCGTAAGTATACACATTAACTTCTTTATGATAGTAACTATCATAAAGAAGTTAATGTGTATACTTACGAGAAACTATTAGTTTCTGGAATGATTTTTAAGTGGAATTACCCCTACCTCCATTCAAAATTAATTAGAAAAGAACCTAAATGTTTGGACAAAGTCCCTTGACCAAACTTATGCCCTATGCATACTGATAATGCATATTCCAAAACAGGAAGTGATGTAAGCACATATGCCACACGGATCATACCACAAAATAGCCATACCACGATAATATAGAGTTGCCCGCCCCTGAGTCGCTAATGACGGGTACTTTGTTTTATCGAACTCGGTAAAGAATATCAGCATCAATCAGTCCTAACTGATGTGTCATAAAAGTAGAACAAAGAACAAGAAACGTTTTGGGTATGACATATTTAATAGGCTAGTAAGCATGCACCATTAGGATCCATAATAAATTAACTACCGCGATAATATAGTGTACCATGCTACGTGTAATCTAATCCTGCAGGTTGTCATCTTCATTACATTTTGGCTTGGCTAATGAGTCTATGCATAATCCAATCAAAATCTCGCACCAAATTCGAAATCTGGTTCGTAAACTGTCGTGCAGCTTTTGATCGATTGCAGGATTTGCAAAGCATGTGCACAGCCAACCCGTTGTCAGCAGATATTTTCCGAATCTTTTCATGTTTTTAATCAAGGTGCTCACGTGACTTGATGCATTTTGCGATGTAAGACCCGTTTTATCACAATATAGATCTTGATTATTGATCAGGTCCTCCTGACTTGGTGCCACCATTTTGTGTAAAGCAAACACAAGTGATATGAGAAGTGGAATCTGATTGGTCTATAGGAGAGGCTTAGAAGGGACATAACTGGTAGGGTGGAAACTGGACTTTTAAAGTCAGTTAACTCTCTTGCCACAGGAAGATGGCAGGTTGTGCTCAGTGTTAGATATTAAGGAGGGTCAAAGTAATGCCTGTTGTGAGAGCATCTAAGAATGGAATTAGTTGGCTCTGTGATTCATGATGTCAAGATGGTGTTGAGGGTTCGTCATCAATGTCATGCTCTCAGTCGACGGTTTGCCTGGTCCAGACTGAATTATTTATACCATTTTCCGTCTTTTAAAAGCCTGGGCATATAATTCTTTCAGACACACTTTACCCCTGTCATTTAATCGCAAAGATAATAATGGGGGAAATTCTGTGCCTAAAAATGACCTGTTATTTAATCAATGTTAATCGAGGCCCAGAGTTTAATCAAGACCCAGGCGTTTATCTAGTCCTGGCGTTTATTTAATGGAATATGGTATGATGTTATGAGCATGATGAGGTGGCCTGAATACAGCTGACTACATAAAATGTAAAATCTTAAAACATCTTTAAATGAAATATCTTTTATAAATCTTTATGCAATCTTTAACATGTTCACAAAAAATGTAAAAATGCTTTAAAAATATAAGCATGCTAAGTAGCTGATGAGGAGGGGTTGTTGTTTTGCAGGTGACATACAAAGGTCTCCATGGAGATGTTTACTGTTGCAACACCAGCCAGTGCAACATCCACATTCAGGGCATTCCTCCGCAGCAACAAATCTGCTACTCTGGGAGCAACATCACTCTCAGACCCACAGGTGAGGACAGCAGGACATGATGTATCGAGCACTGAGACTGTAGTTATACACACTGACACATGGTTATTATGTCCCAGAACCGGAGGAAAGTCTCTAACGTCCAGTTGGTGTGTGTCACCACACATCTTCCTGAGGCAAGGGAGTTAACTGACTACAAAAATCCAGTTTCCACCCTTTACAAACATGATGGGAATTTCTGGGCTTGATTGTTACAAGTTATGTCCCTTCTATGTCCTTCCAAATGACCAATCAGATTCCACTTCTCATTTCACTTGCATTTGCTACTACTTAGGACCCACCCGAACAAGGTACCCGAGTTACCCGTCCCAGCCCTATGTAATATTGCCAAAATGGTGTAAAACTCTACTCACTCAACCGAATACTGACACATTTCTATAATTTGTTGATCGGAAAAATAGTTTGGCTCGTTTAACGTTAATTTTACCACTTTGTGCTTTTTGTAGTTGAATTTCTTTTTGTTCAACAGCCAGTCTTGAAGTCTGTAAAATTCCTGTTTGTGGTCGGGCCACTTGGAAGCAGGATGGGAAGAGAGTGACTCAGTATTTCTGTGATAACTTCTCTTACTGTCAACAAAATGGCATCACAGTTGGTAATAACAGCAACTGCAAGCAGGTAGGTTATCCACAGTGTTTGTTGTATCAGCTGTTAGTTGGGAAACCTGGAATAATGTTTGGTACATTGGCTGTTTCCAGGCAGACTTGGCATAATGTTTGGTACATCGGCTGTTTCCAGGGAAGCTTGGCACAATGTTTGGTACATCAGCTGTGTCAGGCAGGCTTGGCATAATGTTTGGTGTATCAGCTGTTTCCAGGGAGGCTTGGCATAATGTTTGGTACATCAGCTGTTTCGAGGGAAGCTTGGCACAAGGTTTGGTACATCAGATGGTTCCAGGGAAGCTTGGCATAATGTTTGGTACATCAGCTGTTTCCAGGGAGGCTTGGCATAATGTTTGGTACATCAGCTGTTTCCTGGGTGGCTTGGCATAATGTTTGGTACATCAGCTGTTTCCAGGGAGGCTTGGCATAATGTTTGGTACATCAGCTGTGTGACGCTGGCTTGGCATTATGTTTGGTACATCAGCTGTTTCCAGGGAGGCTTGGCATAATGTTTGGTACATCAGCTGTTTCCAGGGAAGCTTGGCATAAAGTTTGGTACATCAACTGTTTCCAGGGAGGCTTGGCACAATGTTTGGTACATCAGATGGTTCCAGGGAGGCTTGGCATAATGTTTGGTACATCAGCTGTTTCCTGGGTGGCTTGGCATAATGTTTGGTACATCAGCTGTGTCAGGCTGGGTTGGCATAATGTTTGGTACATCAGCTGTTTCCAGGGAGGCTTGGCATAATGTTTGGTACATCAGCTGTTTCCAGGGAGGCTTGGCATAATGTTTGGTACATCAGCTGTTTCCAGGGAAGCTGGGTATAATGTTTGGTACATCAACTGTTTCCAGGGAGGCTTGGCATAATGTTTGGTACATCAGCTGTTTCCAGGAAGGATTGGCATAATGTTTTGTATATCATGATACAAACAAAGCTATTTCCTTTGTTAAAACGTCATAAACAATGAATATGAGATTGAGTTTCACAAAATAAACATTTGAAATGAATTTCAGTTGAGTGATATAAGTTGTTGAATTAAGTTTATTGTTTGTGACTTTGGCAACTGGTCTCATAAAATCCCTCCTTATCCAGTAAGCCCAGCTTGTAATAATCCATTTGTTGACAATGTTAGAAACTAGCAAGCACGGGTTGTTGAAGACCTATTCTAACCCAGATCTTCACTGGTGTTGTTATAACTGGGCAGTGGGATAGCCAAGTGGGTGAAGTGTTTGCTTCAAATACCCAGGGTTGATTCCCCACATAGACACCAAAATGTAAAGCCTAATGAAGTTACTTCCCTTTACATGCATCTCATGGCGGCAATAGGAGTTTGTATGCCTGTTTATGTATGGAGGCCCTTTCTCAGGTTGATGGTACACAACTGTTTATTTGGTTAAATATTAGTTTGAACGAGCAACAAAAAAACCCAAAACACCGCCCACTTGTACTATTATTTTTAAAGTTATTGCCTGAGAACCAAATTTTTTTTTAAGCCTAGAATATTGCCAAAAATTGTTGTAAAACCATATTCACTGCTGCTGTTGTCATCACTACTCAGGTACCCATGGGTACGACCAACAGGACGGAGGAGCTGTGCTGCTGTAGCCGGAACAAGTGTTACATCCCATCATGGCCAGTCAAACAGCAGAGCAAGCAGCGATCCTCCAACAGCAGCAGCAACAAGCAGTGGATCATTGCAGGAACTGTCATCACTCTCACGTTCTGCTTCGGAGTTGGTGCTGGTATTCTACTGGCTCTCATGCAGCATCGGAAGAATGCAAGGGGAGATAATCATGTGGCCCTGATGTATCGGAGGATTGGGGAGTGTGACAGGCAAGGAGATGAAGATGTGCTGATAACATAGGTCAGGATCTGCGGGATAACACAAAACCTGTTGCTTGACACCATAACTACAACAGCATAATGTTGTTGTTTCAAAATCACCAAATTTAATTTGAAAGCAGTTGCCTTAATTTTGTTATCCTGAAGATGTGGCCCTAATGTGATACCTTAGACGGGCCATATCGATCAACTCTTGTTGCCTCTAAAATATTTCTTTTGGATGCCAAAAGTATCCATTACACCTTATTGCAACTGCAATGTTGATTCCTTTGTTGATCTTCCTATCAGGACAAGAATATATTTTATTTTATTTTATTTTGAGAAAATGAGAGTTATATTAACGTCAGATATAGGTTGGCTTGGTACCCGTAGATGACTTTGACCTGTTCAACAAAGGTATCTTAATGCTACCACTGTATATATTGAAACATGCTTCGTACAAACTAGCCATGTGTATTCATTCTTTTACTGTGGTAGCTGTACCAGGTATGTTTGTTAACTGTACAGTTAACATGGCGTTCACTTGCTAGATAAACTTGCAGTAGTCGTAGCCTCGAACTTGGTGCTTCGTACACCCTAGCCGTGTGTAGAGTAGGTATTCACACTTTTACTGTGGTAGCTGTATGTTTGTTAACTGTACAGTTAACATGGCGTTAACTTGCTAGATAAACTTGCACTAGTCGTAGCCTCGAACTTGGTGCTTCGTACACCCTAGCCGTGTGTAGAGTAGGTATTCACACTTTTACTGTGTTGTCATATGTTTGATGAATTTTCCTAATGTACAGTAAACATGCCGTTATGCTATGTGACTATTGTCACTAACATGAAGCCATCTATATTGTTTGTAGTGGTGTATAGATGATAGGATGCAACCTGAACATGCCACTGTGTTCAAGGGCCAGTCTGTGTAGTAAATACTGTAAATCTTGAAATCAACGAAAGCATGAATTAAATGCAAAAGATGCGAGTGGTCCTTGTTCGCATTCATGAAACTTTGCATCTGTGTCTAAAAAATTACTATGAACAATAAGAGGGCCTCACTGCACACTTTGGACAGCAGTTACTTACTTAAATTGGGAATTTAACTTGCACTTTCAGACATATGCGTATTTCGCGCACGGGCCCGCCAGGACATTTAGTGTTTGGTCGAAAAGGGTACGTCCGAAAAGGGGAGGCAACCTAGGGGGACTTTAGGGTTGCTTACTTAATTTGGAGAACAAATTTGGAATTTTGAAATAAGCAGAAATACCAAACTGAATATATACACAAACAGTTTTACTGAGCAGCAGATGTAACAAGTATATAACAATGTTATTCAAAGAATAGGAATTACACAATGGGCATCCGGTGAGTTATCACTGCTGGGGTCAAGAGTTCTACCCACTCATGTCAAACTAGGCTGGTTCAATTATTTTATTGCCTTTGAACTTCCTTAATTCCAGTCAACAGAATAAGCATATAAACTGTGTGTTGTTTTTAGGGAAACACTGTTTATTGTTAGTACGAAAGTGCTTTACTCAGCGCTAATAAGTAGTGCTATTTGCTGTTTGATTGGATTAAGGTGAGGATATGTATCATTCCACTGGGGATGGGATGGGGGAGTCGCATTGATTTGGAGTCGAATTTTTGGCTAGGGGTCAGCAGTCGTATTAATTTAGAGAGGCATTAATTTCAAGATTTACAGTAGATGCAAGACAGTTAGAATTGTGTTATGAATTAGGATTAGCAGTAAATATTGTGCTTACTTTTTTTGCCACTGCTATGAAAGATGATATACAAATATAGGCAAACGTGTGGTTTATGTGAACGTGTGTTGATTTATATGCACCAACCATTGTGTGTTTTGAAATATTAAACAAAGTACACATAATTATGATCTGTGTACACAGATGTTTCTCCCTCTGCTATGAAATACACATGGCAGCATTGCAGATTTTATTGTATTTCTATCAATATAATTATGCTACTCAAAAGAAGTTAAGGACCCCCTGATTCTTTCATATTGCTATAGTTAATCTTTCATGGCATGACAGATTGACCATAGTAATATGAAAGAACATGGAGGTCCATAAAGAGCCAGGACAATACAGTTCTGGGTGTATTTAAATCATGCATGAAATTATTTCTGTGTGTGACCTCACACCTTTGGTTCACGATTCAATTTTCGAACCGAAATAATAGAGCTCCGCACAGCAAAGCCAACAACCCAAGAGCTGCGCAGAGTAACTGGCTTCGATCATGTTTAATGTTGGAGGCAAATTGAAGAGAAAGCTTGTGTGTTTTTCCTACGGATTAGTTGCAAAATTGGAATTGTCAGCTTGACTGGATTAGAAACCAGTGCTTATCAAAGCCTATAAATGCCTCTGTCGTGTGAAGCCGATCACGTTGAAGAAAGAAGGCAAGGTATTCCTGACCTGCTACTGAGCCTACTCCAGTCTTGTGACTTTTTTGAGAGGCATTTAGAAGTTGGAGTACTAAGTAAGGATAAGATATATGGATGAACAACATTTTTATTACAAGAGTGACGTTTCGGTGTTGGTTCTAACACTATTATCAGGCAAGTGATAAAGGTGTTAGAACCTACACCGGAATGTCGCTCCTAATTGTAATAAAGAAGTATATATCTTATCCTTACTTATCCAGCATTGTGGTCAATGGAGGAAAAATTCTTTCGGAATGAGGTGAGTGGAGCCAAGTAAGCTAGGGTGTGTTTTTTGGCTATTGTTTGCCAGCAATGGTTCTGGACGGTGCTTTAACATCTTTTGAGTAGTATACATCAGTGTTCCTCTCTTGATAATGTCCGGCACGTTGCCATGGTGTACAGAAGGCTGATGTAGATGTAGATGTAGTATACATCAGTGTTCCTCTCTTGATAATGTCCGGCACGTTGCCATGGTGTACAGAAGGCTGATGTAGATGTAGATGTAGATGTAGATGTAAATGTAGAGGCAGGATATCATATCACACATCAGCTAGCTTCACATGAGATAATCCGTCCAATAAGCTCATTTCCTTACAGTAGGTGTGTTCATGTGACCCTGTGTTATTTATGTGTGTGTATTGTGTTTAATGTGTGTCAGCTGAATGACGAATAGGCAGGAAGACATATCTGATCATGTAACTTCACTTTCATTCTCATTGTTACGTTTTTGCATGATGATGTTTTCATCCTTGTCATAGTTGTCCAATACTCAAATACACTTTAGTGTGATATTTATGTTTATGGCTCCATAACTAACAAACGTGTACACAATTTCATTAAAATTAGATCTAAGTTCTCGCTGCCGCTAAACAAAGATCTGAGGACATCCCATTACAGGTCACGTCAGACCGACCTTTTATGAACTCTGACCGACCAATGGAATTACTGACAAGAAGTCGACATTAGCCAATCAGAAGGCAGCTTTCTTGTTCTTTGCGGCACTAATTTCAAACTGGCGACTACGCTTCGAAACATATTTTGACAAATTCTCGCTTACAAATTTGAAAACTGAAGAAAAGAACATTCTTGAATGGATTATAGATGGTCTAGATTGTATAGATTCAGTCATTAAGACTGTAACTATCGTTCGGAATATCCTGTTTTTAGAAATCACATTCCGACTGTCACTTTCATGATCTGGTAAGTGACGCCCTGATTGGTTGGATGAAAGGTCGTTCTGACATGACTCCTAATGGGATGTCCTCAGATCTTTGTTTAGCGGTAGCGAGAACTGAGATCTGATTTTAATGAGATTGACGTGTACAAAACATTACAATCCCATTTTTATTTCAACCCACCTCAAGTTCTTCTCTATTCTGCAGCATACATGATATAAGAGAAGTACAAGTTCAAAATAGAGATCAGGTTCATTGCATAGAATTTGGTGCTATCTTAAGATTGTTCTTGGATGCCCCTCCCCTGAACATGCTGAAGCTGTCAGGTTTTTTATGTCCCTTCTTGAAGCTGTCATGTTTTTAATGCCCCTCCCCTGAAGCTGTCATGTTTTTAATGCCCCTCCCCTGAAACTGTCATGTTTTTTTTATGCCCCTCCCCTGAAGCTGTCATGTTTTTATGCCCCTCCCCTGAAGCTGTCATGTTTTTTATGCCCCTCCCCTGAAGCTGTCATGTTTTTATGCCCCTCCCCTGAAGCTGTCATGTTTTTATGTCCCTCCCCTGAAGCTGTCATGTTTTTATGTCCCTCCCCTGAAGCTGTCATGTTTTTGGATGCCCCTCTCCTGAAGCTGTCATGTTTTTATGCCCCTCCCCTGAAGCTGTCATGTTAAAGATGTCCCTCCCTTGAAGCTGTCATGTTTTGGATGCCCCTCTACTGAAGCTGTCATGTCTTTTATGCCCCTCCCCTGAAGCTGTCATGTTTTTATGTCCCTCCCCTGAAGCTGTCATGTTTTTATGTCCCTCCCCTGAAGCTGTCATGTTTTTGGATGCCCCTCTCCTGAAGCTGTCATGTTTTTATGCCCCTCCCCTGAAGCTGTCATGTTAAAGATGTCCCTCCCTTGAAGCTGTCATGTTTTGGATGCCCCTCTACTGAAGCTGTCATGTCTTTTATGCCCCTCCCCTGAAGCTGTCATGGTTTTTTATGCCCCTCCCCTGAAGCTGTCATGTTTTTTATGCCCCTCCCCTGAAGCTGTCATGTTTTTTTAAACATCAATAACTTCATAATATTTACTCAGAGCTCTTCTGCTTTCCAACTTTGCAGAGTTGACAGAGACAAACCTACAAATAAACAAAGTGTATGTTCATAAGAAAATGTATGGATGAAAATGACAGGGTATGAAATGAGTATTAAACCTGCAAATATAGCCTGTATTTGCTGTGTCCAGTAACATAGGTAGCATGCCATGCTCAAACTCTACAACTGGCTTTGCCGTTGTAAGTATTGTTCTCAGTTCAAACATAAAAATATGCTCATGTTTTGCAAATGATATTTTTGGATAAGGAAGTGGTATTATTTCTAAAGATACAAGTTCATGATGATCGCATACCTTTTCACATCAAGATATCAAGCTTGGAATATTGAATGGGTTCCGTCCGTTGCACTTCGTTCCAGGCAAGACTTTAGAAACTTTCAGATATTGCCACGACACCCTGCACCTATAGACCAACTAGTGAAACTGTGCCTTTATTGTTTCATTTATATTTTGTGTTAGTTTTCTATGTTTACCTTGAAAGAGATTGCTATTTATTCCTGACTGTGGATGCTTTGATCCAGGGGATGTCTGGTTCAGATTTATTAGAGAGATGTAAAGCTGACATTGTTTGTGATGACAATATTCAGGAGATGCGATTATGTCGAAAATTCCAACCATTCTTTTGGACAAAACATGCAAGGTGTATAGTTTTCTTTCTGTTATATTTTGTGTTACCATAGTTACTAATGTGTATTTGTTCATCTGGGCAGGAGTTGATTATCTAGTTCATGAGCCCAGTTTGACCCACACAATATGGATCATTTTAGAAATGAAGAAAATCTTTACAGTATGCGTTTATTTGAGAAGCAGACTTTGTTCTTGTTGAAATTGCATGTTTGTGACTTTGACCCACTAAATGCATACGTAAGGCTGAGTGTGTTGTGGAGACTGATTTTACTGGTATTCAGGAAGTATTTTACTAATATTCAAACAGGAAATTTGAATCTATTAGGAGTTCTAGATAAGATCAATGCAAACATGTCTTTAAATATTCATTTGGATCACAGGTTTGCTCATACATAGAAAATCTGTTGGGTTTTTTCATTCATTTTATCCATAGTTGTATATTTGATGAAGTAAGAAATTGCAGGTGTAAGAAAGAAAATATGTCTACTTTTAAGTCATTTGAAGCTGTCTGATAATTTTCATAAGACTTTAAATTTGATATTTGAAAGTCTTCTTAATTTATAAAACTAGTAACCTTTGCAGGCCACAGAAACCCTGTGGGCTTGTTTTGTTTATGAGTAAATTTTCATCCCTGTGACATTGAATTGTTGGGATTTCTGTCTGTGTGACCAAATTTGATCGAGTGAGTGAGTGAGTGAGTGAGTTGAGTTTAACACCACTTTGAACAGTATTCCAGTTATATCACAGATTGTCAGCTTAATGTGGGAGCAAAACATGAAGCCTTGCGGGTGTCAGATGTTTACCACTTTGAAACCCGCGAATACCGGTATGCTGACAAAACTGGAAACATAGTTGAGTGAATGAAAAAAGGGTTGTTGTTTTAGTGTGAGAAAGTGTTTTGAGTTTGTGCCTATGTGAGGGGTTTTACCAGTTTGTTTAAATGTATATATATCTTGAAATCTCTCCCTGTTTGTACAGTGTATACCGGTAATCAATTATCATGATTATTTAATAGGGCTGT